GAGGTGGTGCCAGCGTTCCAGCACAATGCCTGCCCTAGGTGCAGCTGAGCGGTCCGTGGGGAAATGCTCGGCTGAAGGTCAGTAGTCCTGGGAGATGCCTAGGGTTCCACCTTCAGCTGCTGGCTCTGAATGGCTGGTGGTTCGAACCCAGCCCGGGGCACCTCGGGAGAAAAGCCTGGCCACCTGCTTCTGTAAAGTCACAGCCTTGAACCCCCCCGCGGGGCGTCTCACTCCACACTCGAGGCCCCTCCCAGACGGTGCAGTCAGCTTCACCCCCACAGGCTCTACCCCACAGGAAGGAGACGCCCAAGAGTCGGCACTGGGGCCCGAGCCTGGTCAAGAGCGGGTGCCAAGGACTGGGGAGAGGTGCGGAGTCCACCTCGTTAACCCCCAAGTGGGCAGGTGGCACCCTCTGTCCCCCTGCCCCCAGCGGGCCCCGCCTACCTCCAAGAGCCAGACGAGGAGCATGGCAGCCCCCATGGAGTTCATGAGGCTGCCGTAGTAGCTCAGCAGGGCCGCCCTGCAGCCGCGCACCCACAGGTTAAGCTCCTCCGTCTGGTGGTCGTAGCTGTAGTGCGCCGAGTTGTTGGTCAGCTGGTGCTGGATGCAGGGCCGCGGCGAGCTGGGGTTGCAGCAGCTGAAGGGGACACCGTCCACCAGGTACCGCCCGTCCACGTTGCTCTTGATGCGGCTGGAGGAGAAACAGAGAGCCTGAGACGGTACACGCCCCTGGTTCATTCCCTGGCAGACACGGGCTGCTTTCCTGCTGTGTGCCCCCCACCCTCTAGGCCCCAGAGACAGAGCAGTGGGCACACCCGCAGCGGGGCCCCTGCCTCCCCCGAATTAAGCAGTAGAGCAGGCATGGACAGGGGGTGTCCAGCCTGCGGGCTGTGTGAAGCCGAAAAATCATCAGTACCAGTTACCACCGCAGCCTAGCCAGAGAGGGGCGGCTGTGGCCCTGGCACTAGCTGTGCTGAAATGTTTGAGCAAATGCAGCACCCTAGTTCTAAGTCGATATCCCGTAAGGCCCTCTAAAGGGAGCATCAGTATGGCCCGCTAAAGGTGGTATCAATCACCAAATGGGCCTTGGCAGAGAAAGGGGCCTCCAGATGCTAAGCCAAGGCGCCAGTGAATGGGAGCGTGGGAGCTGCCCCACCCACAAGGCCAGGCTGGTCAGCAAGAGAAGGGGGCGTGGGGAGGACATGCAGCGTGCCCGCTCAGGGAGGCCCTGCCAGTCTCTGGGGCTGTCAGACTTCACCCCCAGCCCCTCGCCAACATCATCTCCCCAAGCAGGTCACCAACGGTCACCACTACCCCCCATCTGCTCCGCAGGCTTTCCAGAAGGGCTGCTCTGGCCCAGGGCTCACACTGGAGAGGAGGCCCAGCGGTGCAGATGGTGAAGGGCCCCCCTCACTGGCTCATAGACAGGCTGGAGGCCCAATGAACCCCCAGGTACCACAGAAGAAAGGCCTGACCACCTAGACCGCCCACTGAAAACCCTCTGGGTGGCCACTCGTGTCACCCAGGGCCATCAGTGGGAGTGGAAACTCACGAGGCAGGCACAGCCCAAGCCCCCGGCCTGCTCACCTGCATGGGGGGTTCTGCCCAGCCAGGCGGGCGCCCCCTGCACACCTGCAGGATGTGTTCTGTACAACAGGGGGACTCAGCGTAACCAGCAGGGCGTCCAGCCACACTTGCCTATGTCTACGTTTTTGTTTGGAGCAAGGGCCCTGGGGGTGCAGAGAGTGACAGGTAGGGCTACCTGCAAGGTCAGCAGTTTGAAACCACTAATGACAGTATGGGGGGTTGGCGGGGAAACGTTCTCAATTTGATTGCAGTAAAGACTGCACAGCTCCTCTTGGTATGGCTGGACTATCGTATGATATGTGGAACAAAAGAAACCAGCCTGGCCCCCCAAGCCCTGAGGACGATGCCGCGGCTTGGCGCAGCCAAGGCACGGAGGGCCTCACAGGGACGGCCCCACCATGAGACAGGACGACGTCCCTCACTGACACATGGCACGAAGGGGGACAGCACTGGGGGCACGGTGTGGGAGACGTGACCGATCCCACCCCACCGCACCAGGGGAAACACTACGGGTGGGCAGTGAACCGCGAGGGGAGCAAAGTAACGAAGTCCCTGAGGAATGCCCAAGGTGGACTTGGGGGCCGGGCATGGCACCCGGCGGACTGGACTGGACACTCAGAAAGGTCAGTGGACAGACCTGGACCTGCTTGAGGGCTTTTCTGGTTTTGCTGTTGTTGTTCTTTCCTTCTTCCTTTTTTTGTTTTGTTTCTGCTGCGGTTGATTTTTGTGGTCTTTTTTGTTATGTTTTGCTCTGCTTTGTTTTTGCGCCTGTATCTCTGCATGTCCAGCTGGACAAGATGGGTGGGACGAACAAGCCAGAGGCGAGAACAAGGGATGGACGTTTCTGGGGGGACACAGGAGAGGGAGAGATGGGGGAAAAGGTGGGGGGTGCCAAGAAACCCAGGGACAAGGGAAGAATAAATGATCTAAAATTGATGGCGAGGAGGGCATAGGATGCTTCCGGGGTGGGGGGAGGACATTGATCAAGGGCAATGTAGCCGAGAGGAATTACCCAAACCCAAATGAAGGCCGAAAATGATAGTGGAACAGGAGGAAAGTAAAAGAAAATAAGGAAAGAACTGGGAGGCACAGGACATTTATAGAGGTCTAAATACAGGCCTGTACACATGTCAACATTTATATATAATGATAGGGGAATAGACCGATGGACATATATTTATTACGTATTAAGGTAGCAAATGGCCAGTGGACCTCTACTCAAGTGCTCCCTCAACTCAAGAACACTTTGTTCTAATAACCCAGCAGGCATTCTGTGATGCTTACCTTCCTGACACAATCACTGAGGACAAATGGGTGCATAAGCAAATGTGGTGAAGAAAGCTGATGGTGCCCGGCTATCAAAAGATATAGCATCTGGGGTCTTAAAGCCTTGAAGATAAATAAGTGGCCATCGAGCTGAGAAGCAACAAAGCCCACATGGGAGAAGCACGCCAGCCTGTGTGATCCTGAGGTGTCCATGAGATCAGGTATCAGGCATCAAAGACCCCAAACAAAACAAACAAGAAGCCTATCAATGGGAATGAGGGGGAGGGCAGTGTGGAGACCCAAAGCCCATCAGTAGTCAACTGGACACCCACTGCCAGAAAGGTCACAAGGAAGAGACGAGCCAGTCAGGGTGCAGTATAGCACCGATGAAACACACAACCTTGCTCTAGTTCTTTAATGCTTCTCCCCACCCCCACCCCACCTATCATGACCCCAATTCTATCTTACAAATCTGGCTAGATCAGAACGTTTACACTGGTACAGATAAGAGCTCGAAACACAGGGAATCCAGAGCAGATAAGCCCCTCAGGACTAATAAGAGGAGCAGTGATACTAGGAGGGGAAGGGAAGGGGAAGGGGAGTAAGAGGCGACTGATCACAATGATCGATGTATGGCCCCCACCTGAGGGGACGGAGAGCAGAAAATTGAGTGAAATGAGACAGCAGTTAGTGTAAGACAGGGAAAAAAAAGAAAGAAGAATTTATAAATTATCAAGGAGGAGCTGGTGTCAGGGCTCAAGGAGAAAGAAAATGTTTTGAAAAAAATGACAACATATGTACAGAGGTGTTTGACAAAATGGATACATGTATGGATTGTGATAAGAGCCATAAGAGCCCCCATAAAATAAAGGAACCACTAGGCTCAGCGGGAGAAAGACGAGACTTTCTACTCCCGTAAGAGCCGCGGTTTTGGAAAGCCACAGGGCAGTTCCACCCTGTCTGATGGAGTCCTGGGATCCGCTGCAGGCCGGTGAACTTGGCTTGGGGTCTGTATGTGTAGGGAACTATACTGCCCCAGCACACAACTCCGGGGAAACCGCATCTGCCCGCCAGGTGCGCTGCTAACTGGGAGGCCAAAAGACTTACAGCTGAGATACGCTCATTTGATGCCAATAAAACCATTTCAAAACAAAAAGATTTACATTCTTGGGAACCACAATGAGCAGGTCTCCTCTGTCCTATAGTGTCATGGTGAGTCGAGATCCCTATCCTATAGGGTCATTGTGAGTCCAGGCCTCTGTCCTATAGTGTCATGGTGAGTCGAGATCCCTGTCCTATAGGGTCATTGTGAGTCCAGACCTCTGTCCTATAGTGTCATGGTGAGT